AGATTTGGTCACGAAGGGCGTAAGTGAAAAACTATGAGTAATAAGAATGAGCATATAAAGCAAAAAAAATGTTTCGCTCTACTCAACTAGATCAACTAAGGTCTCAACCCATCGCCTAACCGGATGGTGACATGTGCTAGAAAAAAGTCTAAACGACCTATATGATCAGGACAGAAAACAATAATAACAATCCTCATTTGAATAATCATCAGTTTTGTTTCCTCTTTTCTGTATAAAATGATGTGATATAAAGTGTGACGTATTAGTCATTTGATCAATCACCAGAAGAAAAGCTTTTTCTCTAAACTGCGTTTTTCATTCAATGTGTGTAACTGGTACATTCCGGGAATAATCGATTCTACTGATCAAGATTATCATTAATTCACGCGAGAGTGATCTTTATCCAGTCGCTATCAATGTTGTAAACATCGCACACTGAGCAAGTTTATCCGCTCACACGCTTAGCAAATTACTCCAGCTTGAGAACTCCGTAATACTTGACATCGATAGCTTGGTGCTTTCTGTTAAATCTCTATATCGTTCGTTCGCCTATCTCATTAGAATCTTCCAATGCTGTGTAGACAGCAATGCTTGAACACTTAGTCCGTTGTTACGTCTCACCTGACAACCATATCCAGGCGCCAAATGAGAATACCCAAGGGACTCGCACAAACAATTAGATTTGATGCTGATGCAGAAGATATTTTAGCCTGGCAACTATCAATCCATATGGACATTTGATACGAGAAAAAAAGCCGTGTTCTAAGTAGACTTTATGCTCCATTTCTCGGGTTTCTAATTCAATGAGGGAATAAAATGCAGAATATGATATATATTTCTAAAAACGAAATCGATGTTAGCTGGAAGTCAAATACGAAAGCTAGTAGCGTTCGCTGTGGAATTCATATAAGAGGAGGAAGAATGCAAGCCAATGCGGATCTTCCTGACAGTTTTAAAATCAACAGAAACCGTGAGTAAGAAGAGACAGATTCATACGTGGGCCAGTTTTCATATTCTCACAAATTGTTCGGAAACGTTCCAAATTCAAATCAAATAAATACGTAGATACATTTGCCCCGCCTCCACTCCCCGCACACACAACAATTCAGACAAAATGACACAAATTAATCCGGGAGAAATCAGGAATATAAACATACCGTTCCGGTCCCGAATTCCGTGTGCTGTTCTGTGGATGTCATTCGAGGAAGAAGAACAGTCATTCGTCGTGGACCTTTAAAACCGAGTACATTTGTGTCCTATATAAAACAAGAATAGATATGTTTGGACGATAACTGAGGTATTCGCATTCTGCTCGATTCCTAAATTTGTGCACAACGATTTTTCAGTCATTTCCGAATCGATTTTCGAGTCGACAAAAAGTCGCTGTTTAAACAAACCCGTTGGGAATTTTGAACCTTCTGGAAAACTCGAACTGGTCAGTTACTGGGTCGAAATCGCAACCTATCAAGTTGATTTGGCATTCAGGTTTAAAATTCAAAAACAATGTTGCTTAACTAAGATTCAACGGGGGAAGTTAAAATCTGGATGGATGTACAGATACAAATGTGAAGGAAAGATTTCAACCGTTTTGATATCACATATGAATATAAAAAAAATTAGAAGTAAATTACCGATCTATACCTCAATTACTGATAAGTTAATCTGTAGTGAATCTAATTCTTTAAAGTGCATAAGATAACCATTATTCGACCGTTCACTAAAAAGACAATTAAGATAGCACCTATGATATTAAGATGATATGGACTGAGTTGGAATGCTTGAGTAATAAGGACTCGATCATCAAGAAGCGACTGGACACTACTGGTGTTCAATGTGTCGTAAATCCTGAATGATTCCACAGTAATGAGCTTCGAAGTTGAATGTTAGGCAGTATAATCTGACAATTACCAGACTAAAATCGTTTAGGCACAATCGTCGAGGCCCATTATCGTTGCTGTGGGAATAAGGGTGACTAACACAAGACCTGATGAAATGGAATGATGACGCACAGCGAAACGATTTGATTTGCTTCTCAGCAGTCAAAAAGGAGTGTTTTGAAATGATATCATATGTGCAAGAGTGTTGTACAATAACATCAAAAGATGACCTGGAAATTTGAGAATTTACCTGAGGGGATTTCGATTTATGATAACGGTCAATTTTTCACTTATTTTACTTGTGTATTTCCGTGTCAAATGAGGATTTGTCTGACCATAGAAACCAATACAACTTAATTGAAAAAAGTCACTTCTCCTGCGCGAAGAAACCACCACTTCAACTACTGAACAGAACGGGGCCATCGAGCAACCTGCTGTTGGATGCTGATGGCACCCAATCGCTTGCTCGATAGATGTGTTCACGTTTATCGTTATATTCCTCTTCAGTTGGTATTTATCTCATACATGATTTAGTGAAACAAGGCCGTCAACAGTGGATTTCAACATTCTGTACAACTTCAACTTCTGTGCAATCACAAACGCACCCCCTCCCATAAAGATCCGTGCACAAATGAACCAATCCATAAAGTGTATAATAGATCAGGAGGAAAACAGGCAATCAAAGATCAACGTGCCAGAAAAGAGTTACAATCGACATACGGATTTGCTTGGAATAGGCATAAGGTTTTTGATCAAAGTTAAAGTGATAAAAGAGAAAATGGAACAAAAAGTATACAACAGCCCCCATAAGAGCAATGGATTACAAATTTGACAGCGATGGAACAGAACAAGACAGCAATGAAGCTCCGATCACAGGGAGCACGCGCGCGTGAAAATAATGATGACAAGGGAACAGTTAAATGCACTCAAAGGAACAAATTTTCTTATTTGTATCTCGATGATACTGATTCACGTCGATGATTCAGATGGTTGAAACTAAATAAGACAGAGGAAGATTCAAAGGGAGCAGAGCGTGAGATAAGCGACTGCAAGAGGATAGGGAAAGCATAATTAGACAATGGAAGGATGCATCAACAAGACCTTTCCCGTGAGTGATTGTGTGCACTTCAGTTTGCAGTCAGCTCACAACTAGGTCAAAGGATAATGATTGATTATGTGGAAACCCGAAAGGACAGATGAATGCAGTCCATTGAAGTGGGGACAGATGTGCGGAGGAAAGACACAGGAAAAACATACAAGTATGTGTGCATGAATTCCGACTATACACACAAGGTTTCTGAGTTCAAGTTCAGTTTGCAGCACCATTAACCTGACATGGTCCGGTTTCGTCGGCTTTTACTTGGCTTCCGTTCTGGTAAAAATAAAAAGCCAACTAAGTAAACGAGTCAAATGACAAACACATTGAGACTTTTCTGAAAATAACGGCATTGTGCATGTCGCAGATGTCCAAATGTAAATTTCCATTAGGTGAATACGAATTTATTCACAAATGAGTAGAACGTTCCACACCAATACGGGATTAGAAGTCTTTTATTTCCATGGTTGGAACGTTACTTATCCTGTTGGTTATTGTACATATTGTACTAAGAAGGTAAACAAATGTCTCGGTAACAAGAGCCGAAACTGAAACTGGGAAACTGCTGACTTGCAGGCTTGAAACGTGAGATCTCGTCTTTGCTGATCAACTTCAAGAATGCTGAAACATTTGCTCTTTATGGTCTCTATCGGTTTTCGAACGCTATTGTTTAGTATCAAAATGGGTGGAAAATATGAGGAACATATGAACTTCTGCAGCAAAGCCAAACTAAAAAGGGTGTGGTGTCTATTGTTGTGCAGGAAAATTTGAAATAAACGCATATTCGAATTCATACACTGTTTTTCTGCCGACGCGTAAGATAGTACATGTTCCGGGTGGCAAACACTTAATTACATAATTGTGACGTAAAATTTGAGACAATTGAAACCGAACATGAGTTTGGTGCATTTCTTAATAAAAACAAACACCGTATAAGGCTTTTATTAGGTTTACATCCGCAAAGGCAGTTTACATGATCAAATGTATTATTTATGAGTTTCCTTGCGATTGACAAATACACTTCCAGTATAAGAAGGTATGAATAAATTGAGTATAACCCAAAATGGTTGCTGACACTATTCTAAGGAGTATTCCATGCAGAAAGGAACCCAGTAGAAGGAAAAAAACCCGCTATCACCAGCAACTATAGTTTAGACACTGAAACCGATCCGGAATGATGAAAAATAAGGCTCTCTAATCAGAGAAACTGGATAATTGTCTATAGCCGAACTCGAGTGACGTACCAACGTTTGCGCCTTGTATTGTGGATCAAGGAGTATGCCAGTTAAATTGACAGTAACATCATGACACTCCTCATCCTCACCAGGCAACGGAACCAACTTCTAAGAACCGTACAAACCAACTTCTCTTCAAATAAAAGAGTGCCTTGGGGATAAAATACAATTCATTTGCGGTCTCACGTGTTCCAGGCCGACATGTGTGAATTTGAAACATTCCAAACTCGCGGTATATATATATATATATATATATATATTACCGGCTTGCAAGCAAGCTTTGTGCCAATACAACACAATAATAACAGAAAATGGGGAGGTGGAATTCTAAGCAGTGTAAAGGAGAGCAGATATTCAAGTTAAAAAACGACAAGAACAATTCTTTTTGTTTGCTTCGACGTACACCTTTTGCTATGTTTTGTGCATTTTCATCATTTTCATGGGCAAATCACCCAAAACGTTGATAGATGGTTGCCGGCATCAGGTACGTAGCATCTGGAACAAATCGAACAGCACAAATAGGGTCCAAACATTCTGTAATACCCCATTGGTGCGGTATTTTAAGCGCGCCCTCAAGCTAAGGGTCAGACTTCCGTTTAGTGCATTCCTGCATCAGTTCAAAACACAAACCGACAAATACACCCAATGCAACTGCACAGCTAGAAACAACGTGCAAAGCTCTGAATGATGTCTTTTCGGTTACCCGCTTGGTCTAACAATGGAGGAGGAGTTACAATCAAGTAAAATAGATTGGAATAGAAAGTGAAAGTAGAAGGACTAGTTCCCATTGGAACGGAACAATTGTATTCCCCAATGTCTCTAACCACACATCAGGTGGGTGAGGAGTTACAAAACCAGGAAGAAGTTCATGTAAGTGAATTACTTTTGCAGGGTTTTTTTATACTACAGATGTAATTGTTTTTGCGGAAAAATCCGGACAATATCTGATATTTGCCGGATATTACTTTTCCCCATGATCCAACTATATGTTCACATCCTAATCTTCATGCGAACGCATTATAGCATTTGCTTTACATCATTGGTTAGTATTTTATTCTTCCGAACGATAACTGTCATTCTTCTTTTTCGATCTGTTTACAGGTTATTGCGTTCATTGGTCTTTGTCACCTTTTTGTTTTAACTCATCCGCTGATCCACGTTACTCCAATACACGTCTGTTGCAACCAAAAAGCTTCTGGTTCAACCGGTCGTAACTTGATTGCTCACATGCTACGGGATCCATTTAGAAGTTCGTCACATCTGTCCGTAGTTGGCGAACTACATCCTTGTGACGGTTCAAATGCTAGATAGACCGGTTTGAAACAGATGAAATGTGCAATTTCAGAGGATGATCACGTATGACGCAGGGCGACGAGCAAAGAAGTGCAATAGCATAAGCGTACTTGCAAGTAAACATTAATGTAGCAAGTGGCAAAAGCGCAGAGAACTCGGAACAAGAGTATGCGGTGAATCAAACCTCCCAGATAACACTAGCCAAAAGACTTGGCGTTACAGTTTCCGGACAATGAACAACAGGTTAATAGTGTCGATCACTAAGAAGCCATGTGGTTCAATCAGAACCTGCATGCGATAAAGATACACGCAGGCGATTGGTGAAGAGTTTTAACTAATGGCATCTCTTGGTATATATTAATTGATTCAACCAACGACGCACATTCACTGTGGCTTTCTTCCTATGTCTCGATGACAGGAGATTTTAGCATACGGTTACCGGTACCATTCCAGGATTCGCGTCTGATTCACGACTCACGATTTCTATAGGGTACCACCTTGCAGTGCCTCAGTTAGGAGCAGCAACTCAGTAGTTTGGGTCAAACCTACTGTGAGGTGTTATACATATTATCAACCAATATAATGGGTTGCAGTATGAAAACCTCGGGGAGACTGAAGATATGCACAACTGAAGAACTGTAGAGGAGAAAAATTTGAACCTAATAATTCTCAACAATACGGTTGGTTAGATAAGCTGGGATTGGTGCATAAAGTCATTTTAAATGGCAGGCGGTCCAAAACAATCCTATTATTTGTCCCAAGCATTAATAAGTGATCAGGAGTTCAGTCGAAATGACTATTAGCAAGTATTTTCCGAACTGAAAAAACGTCTCTCTGACCAGCACAGTTTTTCTTCATACTTATGTTCTGGGTCAAGGTGATCTGTCAAAATACGGTGTCACTTCACTGAAACAACAAAAATTCAAACTAGAACATATGCGGGAATATTTTTTTCCGTCTTCCAGTTTATTTCTCGATAATTTGACCAGAATTAACCAAGCTGAGTCAGTATTCTACTATTTTTACGTGGGAATACAAGCTAGAATGCGAGAAAAATTGTTCCCAATGTTTCAATCACAGAGCAGTACAGATAAGACGGGGTTAAGTTAGACATTGATCTTTCACTCGGTTGCCAATCGTGAAAATCCAATGGCGAATCGACCGAGGGTCAGAGCGTGAAGTGTATTACATTATCCCACCTCTATTAAGCAAATTGAAGGCACTGTTCAGGTTGATGCCTCATGAGCAGGACAGTTGCGTTTGTTGTTTTGCTCCGTTTGTGAACGATAGCTTACAGCATTATAGAAGCTGATCTGCTGGGCATTATTCCGTCTATACAAGCAAAATAATTCAGGAATGAGAACGATTAGTCAAATCTGGGGGTGCATTCTAATGGTGGAAATATTTTCTTCAACGAATCAAATAATACACACTGCAGAAACTGAAGTCTCCCACCTAGAAGGAAAGGATGGGATATACCTATAACTCAATGTCATACCCTTGAAATGCTACAGATTTCAATTTCAAAAAAGATAGGTAGGCACGTAAGTATGTGCGGCAGAGTCATGATCATATGTATCGTCAACCATGTGATGTCTTGATTAAAACATATTAGGCCTTTTATTCATCATCCTGTATTGACACGGAACGATCCACTAAGACAGCAAAAGTGGAATAACAAGCCCTTGCTCCCACGCTTGAAACCCAATTGACTGGTAGGTATACATTGCTGAAGATTCATAAAAATACGAAGCAGATTAACAGTGCATCTAAGGCATTGCAATCGCGTTCAACGAGTTGCATCTGGCGGTCAAGTGACCACCACATACCCTTGGAGTGTCTTGGAATGTTCGAATACCTTTACTATCAACGCCACCTAACTTCGTCATTTCAGTATTCCCTATGGCGACCCCTGGATTATCCATTTTCCTCGTCTCGAGCTTTGAGAGTACATAGGTTTATTCAACGAAGACGAAAAAACGACTCAAAAGGCATCTGAAGTGAAACAAAATTTAAGTAGATATATCATAAACTTCTCCAGAGCAAACGAATTAAAGCGCTTTCGGTTTTAATCATCTGATGAGGAGTGAAACTAAGTAAACGGTTTTGTCTTTGTTTCTGTAAAGTGTATTTACCATGATGATATAAAAGCAAACGACGAAAATTTGCTCTTACTCCGTGGAGAGCAATGAAAATATAAGATTCAAGTATCCGGTGGAAGAATAGAAAACCCGGCCATGCGTTCCAGTTTGTCTAACCAAGGAGACTTACTTGAAGGTCTGAAGCGAACGTGAATAGTAAAAGATGATACATGTAGGTTCAAAAGAATAGGACTTCAATGGGGCCATTAATTATTTAGTATCTACGGACGTAAGAGAATCTTATGTAGGTAGTATGACGGAGGTACATTCTCAACTGTATAGAACAAAAGATAAGAGAAATGCATAGGCAGAAAAAACTTGGTAAAGATGAAAAATGTCATTAAATAGCAGATGCGTTCAATGCTATTCTTGGTACTACTCACTCCATTTACTTCATGACAGGTATAGACAAATACACTATAAGCGTTCTAACTGGAGCTTCCCTACATCTCTCTCTGATCTGAATTTACCAAAATCTGAGTCGATAATTCCGACCGAACGTAAATTTATTCAATGACCGTACGCATTAAATTTCATAAAATCATTTGACTAAAAGCAGAACAGGAGAATGAACGAATGATCTACGATTCACTTATGAAATGTGCCCACCCAATTGATTCTTGGTGAATGGGGTTCGGTAAGTTTTTTGTCTACCCCTTTGCCCAGTCTTTTCCCTCTCTCTTACTCTGCGCCTCATTCACGGGCATTTATTTGTTTCCTGTGTCTGACTTCAGTTTGATGGAAGAAAAGGCCGCCACCTAAAGAGCTCGTGTATCTATCCATGAGAGAGGAAGCGAGTAGCTATGGAAATGTGAGTGGATATATACATTTGAATTATGACCAGTTACAGGTAGTCCCCGCAACGAAAGGAAATGTTCTATTTTTAAGCAAAAAAATGACAATTCATGAATTGTTCTCTAAATGGTATAAAAAGTCTGGGTGGTACTCGACAGTGAAGTAAATATCTTGTCAACCAATCAAAAATAATCCATCTGCTTCTGTCTACCAATCACCGATTCAATTGCATCGAAATCGTCTAGGTGGGGTTTATTGCTCACCGAAACATATATTTGCACCTTTTAGAAAAAAAGTTAAATGAGTGCAAATGCTCAGTAATAAATGCCTGGGACTGAAGGTAAAAGCGTGTTAGACTTGAATAAATCTTTAACTATTCACAGCTACCCGAAAAAACGTGAGTCTTTCTTGTCATTGTTCGGGTTTGGACGTTCGTGGTTCGAGTCCTGATAGGGACACAAGAAGTACGCACTGCTAAAGAGTCCCAAACAGAATGAAACAGCTATCCAGTGCTCTTCGTTGGTTATCACAAAAATATCTATCGCGTGTAAATGCATGAAGTTGTGGGGAATTAACGATCTCTCAAAGAGTGAAATCCACACCCAAGAATATCAAGAGTGCCTGGTGCCTTGTAACAAACAAATGGACTAATCCAAGCTGTCTACTCTAAAGAAAACTAATATTTCGATGAGAATTCAATCTGAACAAGTGAAAACCGCAACTGACGCGATCATGCGGCTCTGGAGTGGCAACCCACATATGTAAGTTTCCTTACTAACGGCTAAATGCCTCCTCCGGTTTTGCTGAATACAAGCGGTAACTGGACTGTCCGGTTTCCTTTTGCGAAAATACGACCATTGTATCCCCGTAACTGAATGAAAACTTCAAATCGATGACCAATAAATTTGCGTCAGGTTTGTATTCAAAACCATCCGTGAATTTCGCGCCACTTTCCAAATTACTCAAATAGTCCTGCGTTCAATGGAACCAAGAAAAAAGTTTAAACCAGACATAACACGAAGTAGCTTGTGGTTCAAAAAAACCCTGTGCTATGAATTATGCAGACGCATGTTAGGCTGGGAAACGACGAACACATGTTCTCTAATTCTCATAAGGGAACTCATGGTTTGGTAGAAAAAACTCATAAGGTTGCAATAGTTTTGAAGATGATTAGTCTTCAACTGCGCCCTAAATAATGTTGTGTCATGAAAATGTTTACAGTCCATGATACTTATGCGTAAGACTCACTCATGAAAACGGAACTTATACACATGAAAGCAAAGTAGGTTGATTCAATTTATTAGCTTGGGCAAGCAGTTGCCAATAGAAGCAAGAATTCTGAGTCTCGTCAGTGCTACTTAATTATACAATTGTTTTTTTTAATACCACAATTTCCATGTTCATTTGCTAAAAGAAACCTAAAAGAACTACTTATATTTATACTCTTCAATTCAAACTCTTGGTGACTCTTCAGAAAAGAACATATCGCAACCGATGAATCATCACTAGATCACCATTACACTATAGTTCGTTTGATTACTGTCTAGAAAGGAACAAACTATTTCCAAAAAGGTTTACGATAAAACGAGCGATGAATAGTTTACTTATTTTTGTCAAGAACCATCTTTAAATCAGTTCATGTCATTCCCACTTTAGATTAAAAAAACAATAATGTAAATGAATAAATCTGAACCAAACATTTCGGTCCTGCAAAGCAGCGAAGTAGTCCTCAACATTAAGTAGGATATTCCGCAACGCACTCTTATCGTTCCGTGTTGCTCCCATCTATCCCTTAGGCAAAACACCTAATGTGCAGCCACGAAAGCATCTTTAGAAGATAAGTTTAACGAGACTAACCAAGTTAGGGACCCCTAAAATCGCTTGATCCAGCCAGATTCTTTTGGCAGTGAAATTTGGACTACTGGAAAATTCCTCCCCTCGAAGAAAGATTGCACGGTTCACCACCTTCTCAAAGATTTCTAGTGACAGAAGTATGTGTGGATCATCTATAGAAATTTAGGTTTATGTCTTCCGTACTACTCCGAAGGTTTGTAAAAAACGGAAAATTTTACGCCGGTTCAAAGGTTGTTAACAGACACTGTCCCAAAAGATAACCGATACAGTCAGAACCGGGACAGTATATTCGTGGGAAAGACGTATCAGATTTTCGGCATAAGGATCCAGTAGTGGAGTTCCCGACTAACGACTACCACCAAAACAACTCTTTATTACAACGCTGATGTTTAATGTTTCTCAAGCTCCTGAGATTATAATCCATGGCGTGCTGGCCTGATTCGATTACCAGGGCCGGATTCAAATACCATGGAACATCTTCGGATGAGAACCCTGAAAGATGAAGCTGGCATTTGGATGCAGCACAAAAGCCATTCTTAGAAAACTTCACAAAAACGTAGGACTCCGGAGGAAATGAGATGTAAACTGATTTAACAATACGATTTTCAGCAAACAGACTTCTCATTCAGATACCCTTAGTACCTAATACCGTACTGAAGCTTTACACGCTTGATTCAATTCCTTTCCATTTTTTTTATTAAACATGCACTCTTGTGCGGTGATTATGGCTTTTTCCTTATGATTTCCTATTTGAATGAGAGTGAAGGAAAGATTGAAATGTTCAAGCCCCTATCAGAGTAAAAAACTAGAATTTATGAAGACTAGGTCTGCAAAGAAATTGGAAATACTCATGAGCGCCACTTTTTACGACACCCAGCCATATCACCTAAGTGCTTGCACTATAACTTCATTAGCAAGCAGCTTGAAACCAGACTACTGTGATCATGTGGCAATTTGTTTCATACGTGATGCAGACCTCTATGAATAAATTCCATGGTTAAATTCTGGTGCCAGCTCAGTAAAATGATTTTCACAAAAGCATTTTCAACGAAAGTACAGAATAGACATGACTTGGGTGTTTTTAGCATTGCACGGGTGGACGTTTGCATTCTTTAGTCCAGAGTACTGAGTAAAATAGAAAGGCATAAATCCACGCCTGAAATAGTATGCACTCGACAAATCACAGTAGTGACTTGACCAAAATGTTTACACTCTCACTCACATAGACGATTGCAGCTAGTTCTCGAAGTGTTTCCGATCCGACCAGACTGCCATTCTCAAATGCTTCACTGTCTGTCGAGCGAATACTGGCCCTTGATCGATTGGGTGCGGACATATCTCCACGACGCACACGTTTCCCACCCGCATACAGGACAAACTGTGTGCCAAGAAAATTCGAGCGCAGTTTGCCAGCAAAGCTTTCGGCCGCACGGGACAAGTCGGTCGCGTCACAGGAGATCACATAATTGCTCGTGGTGGACCGCTTTCGTCTACGAGCAGCCAGGAGAAAGAATTTCCGATCTTCACGTTCCATGTGGAGGTAGTAGGTGGGAAAAAGACCGCGATCCATGCCCCGTTTGTCTCGACTGATACGACATCGAATTGTAACACCCTGTTGAAATAATAATGCATTAAAAATAGACCAATAATTAATGCTACAACTTCTTAAGGCTGTAAATGTGGACAGTATAATGAAGTTCTGTGGGGTTTTTTGCTCACCAAATTACTATTTCAGTTTATATGACTCCTCTGTCTATCAGAAGCAGATTGTAATACTAAAGAAACAATAAACATAATTGGTGATGTATAAATCTCATCTATCAACATAAATGTTGTTTTTAAGGAGCATTTTTATCAGTATTATTTTTTAACTGTATAATAGATTACTATACGTTACGGTGAAGAAATATTTCACGCAGAAAATTAACCAGTTTTTTTTACTTCTTTTGCGATGACGAACTGCACAAGGATACAAAATTAAACTCTCAAAATGCATTTCCTTTCATAGAAAATTATACGTTACGTAAGGATTGCAATCGCTTCACAGTAGTAAATCGATCTGATTTTATTGATCATATTTCAGATTTCATCGTTATGCACAAATGTCAGTGATTCACGTCAAACAGGCATTGAAAAATTCTGACACTGGTGATTTACTCACGTATGAGCGAATCACTAGATAGCTAAATGTAATTTAACAAGTTTGAACAGTCACGTTTGCCTAAAACTGATTTGATGGAGTGCAACTTTGATTGAGCTTAACAGCCAATATACTGTCTCCTTTCGTTGCTGTTGAACTGACTGTCGCTGAAGACGAGATCTGAAGCTACTTGAATGAGTCTACTGTGGGTTAAGCTCATTGGCACGACAGGAACAAACACACCATCCAAGTGCGGTGTTCTGAATGCAAACTGTAGGAGCGACAGTTTCAAGCGCACAACGGACGAGCTATAACAAAAGCAAATCTCGAGTCTACTGATTTCTGAATGCATGTTTGGCCAGGTGAACTAAGAATTTTGTACACATTTCCATATACACATGTCTACTGTCTGGGGTTGTTTTGGATCAGATCAACTAAAAGAACCTCCCTCGAAATGTATTTTTTCTAAAAACTCTAGTTCATTAGTGGAGTACCCAATAATGTAGGTAAAATGGATTAAATTGTCCACCTTCGAATTAGGTGGTCCGGATACCGCTTCTGACGACAATTAAAGCGATTTAGTGTTGGTGATAACCAAGAACATGGATTGAGTTGCACAGTGACTTTTCGCTCTCAAATTCATGTACTATTCATTTTGTTCTCCAGAAATTCAAAATGCATCCTATTTTTAATAGATCTATCAAGGTTCATTTTTCAACTCACAAATTTTAATTGAGTTCATTAGGCAAACGCTATCTCATTCAGAGGCTCATATATTCCACTTAAACTGTTGTTATTTGAGAGTAGACACCATCACCAATATTCTCCCAAGATTTATCAGTGAGCTTCTTTAGTTTAAGCAAACACTACGGATAAAAGACCTTTAGAAACCGATGCCAAATTATTTTCCACGATCAGATACAAATTCATTTTATACTTATCTTCAAAATAATCGTGCTGAATCAGTATCGGTGGGGGATAACGATGAAAACGCTGTACTTAACTGATCACTGAAGGGTAGCAAAAGTGAAACCGGAATGAGACAATACCAATAGCTGAACAAGTTCGCTTCATTTCAGTTGCAACATTCTGCTTGTTTGACGGAAAACGCGTAGATCGTATGACAGTTGTATGACGGACAAGGGAAATCAAAACGTTGCTCTCGGACGTGATGAGCTGCGCAAAATGTTTTTCTCTATCTACGCTTGGGGCATGAACATTTTATTTTTGTGACTGAATGAGATTTGTCCACGTCTGATTGCCTGCCTCAACTTAACGCTGTTGAAAAGTCAAAGTATCGATACACGAGCTTGTTTGCAGATTTCGTCTGTATTTCTTCCACATAGCATATGCAGTTTTACTTTCAAATGCTCTAATCGGAAAGGGTAATTTGAAATTTCGCCACAAAACGGGATAGAACCGGATAAGCGCAGGCGGAAAAAAATTAGATATACATGGTGTTTGAAATCAGCATCCGTCTATTTGGTGAAAATAGGATCAACTGTTACATTTGTAATTGAAATAATAATTAAATAAAAGTACGGAAATTCCACATTTTGGACAGTACTTTTTGTACCGATTCTTATATTTAAACAACAACAGTAGGCAATGTGCAATTCGATAATGTCGAAATGCAAGAATTTCCATCATTATTTGTGTATTAGTAATGCAAATAACCGCTGGTAATCATTTTTACTCACAAGCCGTGGAGTCACGTGACAACCATTCCGATTCTTTTTGTGTTTAGCACCAAAATTGCTTAGGTGAAAGAAGAACTAGAAATCCGGCTCACGAGGGAATATGTTTGCGTATGTGTTAAGATTGTTGATAAGGGAAACACTTTGAGAATCAGGTGCTGTACGAAAAAGGCACCGTTCAATCAACACCTTAGTCAAATAGTTCCCCAAAAGGAGAGGATATTTAGCTAATGTGCTTTTTAACGTTCGAGAGAAAAGAGCTCATTAGATCAAGAAACGCGTGAGACAAAAATCAATTTCAATGTTCGATCTTCTATTTTGGACGGGAAATTACGAAGTTGGCAAAACGTCAAACTAAGGACACGTAGGAACAGCTGGAGGTCAATATAGATGACAGGCAACAAGAGTAATGTGAAACTTTGTCCCTAACCTCATTTTGGTTGCCTACTCGAAAATTCCGAACAAATACGCATTCCCGTTTCCCCTCTTCCTGAAACCTACTTAATCATTATATTTTTTGAATGAAAGGATGTAAAACTAGAGGGAAAATGAGCGAAGAGGAGAACGAGGGGGAGCAAGATAAAGATAAAAGATCACGAAAAATGTAATCGAAGTCACCATGCAAAAGGTAATGAAGTTTCGTATCATTTAGAATGGCAAACGCCTGTTTTATTTCATCTATAGGCAGATGAACCACAACTTCATATTAGCAGACAGATTTTCTAACAAACCCAACACCGATGATTGTGAACCTGAATAGAATTGTGTGAACCCGGAAATCAAATGATACATTTGAAAAACAAATAAATAATTTAACTGTTTGAACACATTTCCTAATCAGTTTCTAATGGACAAATCTAACTCACTTGGAAGACACTTCTATTCTATCTGTCAGTGAGTGAGACTTTCCCTTTGTGTGTTGAATGGCAGCTCTTTGACTAGCCGATTCTCTTTTCCTAAAAATTGTATCTTTCTACATTTAATAAAGCAAGTAAAATGAAAAACAAAAAAAGAAAAAGGAAGCATATAAAAACTGTTTAATCGTTTGACCTAATACAATTTTTACCAATTTTAACGAACAAAACGCCCCAGCAGTTTGAGTGCCCAAACAATTTAAGCATTGCAAACAAATAATAGCAGAGTGTTGAGGGATGAAAACAAAGTCAAACGAGAAAAAGCAACTGCAGCAATAATAATACCGAAACCTGACATCAGCCTTGATTTGTGAAGTTCCAGTAACAACTATGAATGGTACGCGGTTAAGTTTATGCAACCATTAACCATGCAATCTTGTGCGCTGATTTTAGTTGCCATTTAGATTTACACGATATAGCACAACCCATCTTTATGAGCTTGTTGCAGGCCACAGACTTCACTCATTTCAGCAGTAGCCTCGGTTGAAAACTTTCTCAATCTGACTGTTTGATACATGAGACCAATATATAAGCACTGTCATTGTTAAGGTTACAGTTACTGATTACTCTCAGATGATCTTCATTGTATATATTCAGTTCACACACTGCAACACACTATAGAATATTAGAGAAAAAATCCTGGGAATAGAAATTTAATTAAAGCTCCATTCAGCGAAGACGCGGATCACCAATAATTTAAAATAGTATAACCACAGTGTAGCTTATAAGTGTAACACTCACATACCCAAAAGGCTAGTGATCTGATCACGATCAGACATAATTAAGTGAATGTAACGAGGCGGTAAATAGTGTGTAGGATACTGCCTCGTGCAAAATCACAAATTTCCTCTCTCGTTCTCTCTAACTCCAAGAGAACCATTTGGTCTTATCAATCCTGATCTCATGCGTTATGTTTGACAGCCGACGACAGAGTAATCTCAAAAAGTTACTATTGTATAGTGAGAGGGTGAACAATTCTTTTTAAATGGGAGGAGGGCAAACAGGGATGAACGAGAACAGTGAGAAACTACAAACTCTGGCGGTGAAATTCGGTGACACTACGGGGTTGTGATGAGTTATCGTGTCAAAAGCATCCGGGGTGCTGTCAAGTAAACAACAAAGCCATTAACAACGTGATGCGATGTACACGGGATTTTGCCATTTGAAAATAGATGCCTAGTCATCAGTCACCAGCGGGAATGCGATTCCCGTTTGCAACACTCAACGTACTGCCTAAGATAGGCGAATAGTGTACGAGGCAGATTGGGGGACAGTTTTTCGGCTGTGTGCTGAATATAACTGTATAGGCATTATTTGCTCTCTGTCGTTTGAGTTGCGATTTGCAATATTCCTTATATGAAAATGTCCTTTCGGTTAATGGTGGCACGTACGAAAATATGTTATGCTCAATACGCCATGCATCAACCAAAAGACAGAAATTACTATGAGCAAATCAGACGTACGATGGCATATTATTTACCCTTCATTAAATCTGTTGCAAGTGAAATACCAGTGAGTCCTCGGTAGGCGGCATGTAGCGCCCAACGACCTCGGAATAAGTTGTTTAAAGTAAATTAAATCTATCTGCATAAAAATACCGAAGGAGGTAACATCCGCAATTCTTTTACTATTTCATCAGTCTATAGAAAACTGATGTACCTGTTCGGTATAAAAGCTAATGCATGGCTACATACAATCTTTTCTGAGCTACAATGCAGCATTCAACAAAATTCCACCTTCCACTTTTCTTCCTCACTTGCAAAAACAAAACCTTAAATATAGGATCCGTTACCTACCGCGGAACCGGTGTTAGACGTTTTCAGAACTGCGTTCTACCTTCTGAGAAAGATATATAGCGGTA